GAGAGAGAGAGAGAGCTGGTTTGAGAACTCTTTTATATGAAAAACTCAAATGTAAATGATAAGAACTCAACATATTCAATGTTTTAGAAGTCCAATGTTTCTTCTTACAATAGAAGAAAAAGAAAAAACACCATATTCAGTGACATAGGTCATTAGAGAGATTTCTATTGCTCTCTCCTCAAACAATGTAATTTCAACTCCAATTGAAGACAAGGAACTACAAATTTTTTCCTTGTTCTCTCCCCAATAACGAACAATTCAGTTAGAGCTCAAAAAGAAGAATAAGACATTATCTTATAAATCAGGTTAGGACCAAACAACTAAGAGCCCAAAGTTATAGGATTGGCATGAATCAGGTTAGGACCCAACAACAAAGAGCCCGAAGTTATAGGATTGGCATGTTCTCCAATCCTGCAGAATGCCTCTTATCCTTTCTACCTGTTCCATTTTGTAAACAAAAATTCAGGCTGAATTCAAATAATCAAATCCAAATATCTAGAATTTTACGAAATATGCACCCCACACTATAGAGAAAAACGAAGAGAGAGTGGTGTGGCTTAAGTACCTCTAGTTGCAATTTTGGTGCCAGTTCCCATTGAATTTGATGATTTCAAAGCTCCCTGACCTGTTTATGGAACACCCCATCATAAGACAATCTAAGTATGAGGAGTTCCTGGTATGAAATTTAACTAAAAAATGAAGTATGAAATTTTGAAAATACAGTGGGCAATTTTGTTTAGCGTTGTGGGGGAAGTGATAGAAGACCTACCTTGCCTATTCATGTTGATCTCTGAAAGAACTCCACATTCATTTGTCGAAGGAAAGCCAGATGAGACCAGATTTGCATCTAAAGGGTCACTTTTGGAGGTAGAAAGTGAACTGTGCAGAATTTAGATAGACAAACAATTTGAAGAAATCGAGATCTCTCTCAATTTTGAAACAGAACAACTTGTGAAATTTCCCTCAATTTTGAAACAGAGCAATACCTTGTCATAAAATGAGTTGCTTGATGAGAAGGACGGCCAAGGAAATCCAACTCATGGAGCTCAACATCTTGTAAAAGTTCTGACAAAGAGAAATCGTTCTCAAATAGAACAGCATCAAAGTCCAGAATATCACTCATGTCTAAATCTTCTCCCGATTTTGTATCATCGTCAGAAGGCCCATTAACCGCATTCTTTGCTGAGTTTTCTCTCTCCACCAAACCATCAAAATCCAGCCTGCTTTTAATGTTCTCTCTCTTGCCTGTACTCTTGCGGTATAATTTCCCAGGTGATTGCGCAACATTATGAATTCCTTCCACCTTATGGTTCAAGCTTTGGCCATGGTTTCCATCAGGTTCGACACCAACTGGGGTGTTGTAAATTGGTGTGGTTGATGGTGGATTAGTGGAATTTACAGTTGAAGAGGTCTCTAATGGTGGGTTAGTGGAATTTATAGTGGAAGGGGTCTCCAGTGGTGAATTAGCAATATCAACATGGTTTGGAAATGGCTGTGGTGGTGTTGGAGGACAAGCTGACTCATTTTGTGGTAGAGGGGATTGACTGAACAAATTCCTAGAAACAGATGTTTCTCTCTCTAAAACGCCATCTCTAAGGGGACAATTGTAAGGGGGTGTTTGAAACTTAGACTGACCATTAACCTCCTGATTAGAGAGAGAAGATGGGTTTTCTGATCTGTTAGAAGGGGATTTGGTGCAAGCTTTTTTGGTTGTCGATGGACCTGAGAGAGATTTTGAAGCCTTCCTCTTGTTGGCATCTGAGGCTTTAATTGCAGGCTTTGGAATATTTGATGGAACGGAAGGGGTTAGCATTGTTGTAAGGACACCTTCAAAAGAAAAAAGCACAACCATCTTCAGTTCAACTTCTAAGAGACAACACAACGCACAACCCACAACACAACGCACACACACACACATCCCATATATAAGAACAGCTAAACAATACTTGTCTGAGAGTAATAATCAAGATTAACTGTCATGTTCAAAGATCTTTCTGATATAGCAAGTATTTAAGTGAAATTTAAGAGAGACAAAGAAAGATCAATACATAAGATCTTTCTGATATAGCCAGAGAGACAAAGGAAGGGAGAAATATCAGTACATAGGGTGGAGAAAGATTAATAGTTTATAGGCAGTTCTGCTCAATTTCATCTAAAGGATCACAATAGCAATGTAAAAGTTGATTTCAGATTCAGGGCAGAAGAATGAAAAATAAATGAAACTGAAAATGTACCTACACTAACCCTATTAGAGAGAAAAAATAGCTCTGGAGAGGGAGAGCAAACAGAGGGAGAACAAGGGTTTTAGAGGGAGAAGTTTGACAAAAAACAGGGCTTGGAGTGCAACTAGATTAGTAATATACCTGAAGCAACCAGATTACAGAGAGAACATAGAAAGAGAGAGAGAGAGAGAGAGAGGGAATTCTAGAAAGAAGTTCTGAAAAAAATGAAAAGAAGATCATGAGCAGCAATTAGAAAATTAATGTACCTGAAGCAACCCCAACTTGAGATTCCACAGTAGAATGAAAGGAATGAGGCATCTGTGAAGCTTGAGATGGAACAGCACCAATGAACTGGTAAGCACTAATTACATCTTGCATACCATGCAAAAGTTTCTCAACCCTGCATTTCTCCTGCTCTACAGCAATCTTCTGCTCTTTCATCTCTATGTACTCATTCAATATATCCGCCAAACCTAACAAACTCTTTGGAACCTGAAAAGCCCACATCATATTCATGAGGAGAGAGAAAGCTCATAAATATTTAGATAGAGAAACCACCCAAGAGGGAAAGTAAGAGTTAGGAAACTCTTTGTTTCTTGAAAAACCCACATCACACCCACCTTAGAGGAGAGCTAAAAACCCATAAAAACTTAAGAGACAGAGACTAAACAATACAGAAAAATTAGAAGATACGAAACTCATTGGCACCTGAAAATGGCACATCATATTCATCATCTCAGATGAGAGAGAGAGAGAGAGAGAACTCGTAAATTTTAAGAGAGAAACTACCCAAGAAAGAAAAAGGGAAGAAGGAGAAAAGAAACTGATTGACACCTGAAAATTCAATACCACATTCATCTATGGGGGAGAGAAGGCCTATAAAAAATCAGAGAGAGAAACACCCAATAGAAAAAGGGACAGAGTGGAAAATCCTTGACACCTGAAAATCCATAATGTTCATCGTAGATGACAGAGAAAAACCCTTAAAATCTAGAGAGAGAAACCAGCCAAAAAAGAAAAGGAAGAGTAAGAGAGATAATGTGAGTGAGGAACTACCTCTCTGCTCTGTGTTGTGGGCATTAGAGCTGCAGCTTCAGATCTGAAAGCTAATTGAGTTTGAGTGTAGCGGTTATCGGTTAGGTACTTGTCCACTATGAAGGCCACCTGCACTGGAGTCACCTTTCCCGTCCCAAATTTCGCAGCTTTCCTCCTACTTTCCTTACCCATTTAGAGAGAGAAACACAGTCGGGTAAGAGAGAGAAGCTCAGAGAACCAGATCTGAGGAGGAACAGAGAAGAAGAGCAAAGTAGAGAGAGAGGGGGTTTCACATTAACAAACAGTTGGAGTATAAAAGATGGTGTGGGGGTTTATGTGAAGAGAGAGAGAGAGAGAGAGAGAGAGAGAGAGGAAGGCGGGAGCGTTCAAAATTTGGTGGAAACGGGGAAACAGGTTTTTGGATGAGGCGGGTGTGGGTTATTTTTTAGAGAGAGAAAAGTTTTTGAGGCGGGGGATGACACTCTTCTCCCTCCAATTCTTTGAATTTTGGAGAGAGAGGGTATGGCCGATTAAGTTAAGAGAGAGAGAGAGAGAGAGTGGTCGTTTGGCTTGGCGGTTTTTCGAGATCGGAGTGAATCGAGCCTGCAACCTTAAAATATAGAATTCCAAAAATTCTCTAATTTATCATCTTCACATTGGGATATATATGAATATGAAAAAAAATATTTTGAGTTTTAAAAATAGTGTATATTGTAACACGTTATCTAGACGGTCTCTTTTTAATATTTTTATATATTTATAGATCTACTTGATTTTAACCATTTTTAAAATTAAATATTTTATAATTAGATATGAAAATTGAATTTTAAATAATCTTAAAAAAAATTTAACACCAAAATTATATGTTATTATAAAATTTAGAGGTGTACCTTAATTAGATTGTTTAAAGTTGCAACCTTATAGAAACCACACCCATTAAAAAAACAATTGAATGGTTAGTTTCAATTGTTTTTAGAATGATCACATATTTGCATCCATCTTTAAAATTTATGGTTTAGATTTCTAAACCACGTTTGTAGAAATATTATTCAGCCTACATGAAAAAAAATTTCTAACATAAAAGTCAAAGATTGGATGCTCCCTAGGTCAAATATGTGCCTTTTAGTATTTTCAAAAGTAACCCTATTAAAACAAAGTGAAGCCTCATTACATAATTCATCCAAAATTACAATTCAAGCTCTTGAAAAAGTTTATGTTGATTATCTCGGCTTGAATATTATAGTTACATAAAGAAAATCATGATTTTAAATTCTAAAAATAGTATATATTGTAACAAATTGTCTAGACCGTTTATTTCACCTTAAAAATAAGAATTGTAAGATCTGTACTATTTTTGTAGTTTCAAATTTTATTTTCAGTGTTGGAAATTGATTTTAAAGCCACCATGAATATTTATGTTGCCGAAAGTACTTTCCAAACAAAGATTTTAGATGAAGTTTCATTTTTGTTTTCACAAATCTTAGGCCTCATAATTAATTTCCCAAATTTTGATATTTTGAAAATGATGAAGTATTTATGGAAAATTATGGATACCCCCACCAATTTCAACTTTTCATACATCATACCCCTATTATTTTTTGTATTATACCCTAAACCACAACATTATTTTTTTTCTTATATCTACCCCCAGTCAAATAGTCAATGAGTTTTAGAACAAAAATGCCCTTTATTCTCTCCCTTCCCCTTTTGAAAAGATTGGTCACGTGTTATCAATTTGTCTCAAAGTGTACTTTTCCTCTATCTCTCTATCTACTACCTCTTCCATCCTCTCTCTTTACTCACCGACTCTCTCTCTTTCTCTCTCTATCCATTATCTCTTTCTCTCTCTACCCATTGTCACTCCCATTATCTCTCTACACCAAATGATACAAGGCTTGAAAATATGGTTTGGCATAATTAGTGTCGGACCAAAAATTTTTATCCATAAAACTTATGGAAAGTTACCCGTCTAACATATTTTGTACCGGATCGAATTTAATTTTTGCGGTCTAGCACATTTGTGGTCCAGCACAAAATGTGTTAAACCGCCAAAAAAAATTTCGGTTCGGCACAAAATGTGCTAGATCAGTAACTTTCCAAAAGTTTTATGGCTAAAAAATGCAGTACGACACAAAATGTGCTAGATCGTAAAAAAAAAATTCGGTTCGGCACAATGTGTGCTGACCGGTAACTTTCCAGAAGTATTATGGCTAAAAAATACGGTTCGACACAAAATGTCCTAGACCGTAAAATAAAATTGGAGAGAGAGGGAAATAGAGAGATCAGATGAGAGAGAGGTTTTTTGGCTAGGTAAGTAGAGAGAGAGAATACCGATGAGAGAGAGTTTGTTTTGGCTTTTGGATAATATGGAGAGAGTTTTTTTTTTATAAATGTTATAAACTTTTATTAAAGTAATGCTTCAAGAGCATGAGATTACAAAGATTTGGTCAAATCGTTAGAAACTTGTAAAAAGGGAAGAGAAACATCATGTTCAGCTAACCCACCAGCAACATTATTGGCTTCGCACATGGTGTGGCCGAAGCTTATCATCAAATTAGGCCAAGCACATAGGTCTTGAATTTTTAACAAAATAGTAAATAAGGACCAGGGAATCTTTTACTCTTTTTTACACCACTTGATAATATTCATGGAATCCTCTTCAATTATAATATCACCAATAAAACCCCTGTCGATAATGATATGAAGGCCTTGAAAGAGAGCAGTCACTTCAACATGATTGGCTATTGTAGACCCACAAAGATCCGAATAAGAAAAAAATAATTGATCCAAAATTGTTGCAAAGAAGCCCACCAACACCTGCAGGCCCTGGATTTCTAAATGAGTTGCCTTCAAAAATGAGTTTGAGGCAAGCTTCTAGAGGTGCAATCTAAGTTCTAAAGAGACGGCTAGAGTGAGAAGAGGAATGAGCCAAAAAATTCAAATTGATATAAATATCAGTCTGAAGAGCACCCCGTCCTTCAGGCGTGGAGGAAAACCAATTCCAAATAGATTATAAAATGAGATCTTTTACCCTTTTAATACTCTGAGACACACATCAAAGGTTCTTCTGTTATGTTCTAACCAAATTTGCCTTGAGATTGAACTTCTGAAAATTTTCTAAATCTCAACTCTTTTTTGGTAATCCAATGGCAGAAAGATGATCAATAATATTGATGAGATTCAAATATATCGTGAGGAAAAAATCCAATAAAGAGAAGGCCGAGAGCCATAAGCTAGAGGCAAAAGGGCAATGAAGGAAAAGATGAAAGCAAAAATATTCATTATTTTTTCACATCAAGCAAATGTTTGGAAGAAGTTTACCCATCTTTTACAGATTATCTACTGTTAAACATTTCATTTGACATGCGACTCATAGGAAGGCTTGAATTTTAACTAGAACTAGTCATTTCCAAAGAGAACACAAAGATGTATCAACAAAATGGACCCGATCCATAAAAAGGAGCCTATACACTGATTTGACATAAAAAGGTCCATTAGTTTCTAATTCCCATATGACCAAGTATTTAGAATTATAAGAGATGTAAACTTGTTCAAGTTGTTGGAGGATATTTCGAAGCTGCGAAATAACCATGTCTGGTAGCCTATTGTAGCGGCATCCGATGTTCCAAATCATAAAATTAAAAGGGAAAAGGGAAATCAACTCTGAAAGTTTTGCATCAGGTTGAGCAACTCTCGCAAAGAGGTCAGGATAGGTAGAAGAGAGAAGTGTATTACCAAGCCATTTGTTGAACCAAAAGATAATGGTATCTCTATTGCCAATAAGTCATCTGATGTTGTTGAAAACAATATTTCTGCAGCTATAAATATCTTTCCAAATCTGTGAGGTGAATTTGACTCCTCTACCTTTTTTAATCGAGTGGGTGAGATGATTGGAACCATATTTAGCAATTAGCACATCCTTCCAGAGATGAGAAAAGTCTTGAAAGATTCTCCACCACCATTTTGATAGAAGCGTCCAACTTACAAGTTTAAGCTTTCTGATATTCAAACCCCCTAGCTTCGACAGCATACAAACCTGATCCTAGTTCACTAAATGAATCTTTCTGTGGTTATCCTCCATATTACCCCAAATGAAGTTTCGCATATATTTTTCAATAAGCTTGATTAGTTCACAGGTATTTGTAGGACTGACATCAAATAAATAAGAAAATGTGCATAAGTGGATTTAACCAAAGTGATATGCCTACCAAAAGATAAAGTTTTGATCATTTATAAATATAATATAACTTGATACCTGTGAATAAGAGGGTCCTAGGCTTCACGAGTAAGCTTACAATCAGAGATAGAAATGCCCTAAATATTTAAGGGGAAACTTCTCAACTCTGCAACCCAAAATTGAAGCAAGAAAATCCAAAAGACTATTAGAGCAAGAGATGCCCACAATTGAAATCTTATAGAAATTTACTTTAGAGTCCAAAGCGAGCTGGAAACATAGAAGGAACGTGCTCAGATTCTGCATTTACTCTTCACTGGCATCGTCGAAAATCAAGGTGTCATCTGCATATTGCAAATGTGAAATAGTAGGTCCAGATGAGGAAACTTGGAAACCTGTAAGAAGATCTGCATTTACATCATTTCTAAACATCAGGCTAAAACCTTCTGCTACTAAGGTAAAAAGAAAATGATATAGAAGGTCTCCTTGTTTAATGCCCCTAGAAGCATAGAAGAACCCCTTAGGAGATCCGTTAATAAGAACTGAGAAATGGGTTGAAGAAATGCATTCCATAATCTAAGAAATCCATCGGACACCGAAACCCATTATTCTCATAATCTCACTGAGCATTTGTTGTTTAACTCTGTCAAAGGCCCTCTTCATATCCAATTTAATAGCCACTCTCAGCTGCTCATAAAGATTTCTAGAGTAAATGCATTATTGGGCAATAAGAATGCTATCTGTGATCGTGCGGTCTCTAATGAAGGTTGATTGTTTATCAGATATCACAAAAGGGATAACCAACTTAAGTCTCTCTGCTAAAACGTTTGTAATAATTTATAAAGACTAGACAAGAGACAAATCGGCTAATATCTCCAATATAAGCAATGATATCTTCTTTGAGAATTAAAGAAATATAAGTAAAATTAATGCCCTTGAGAACACTCACAGGGGACATAAATTCCTTAACCATTAAATAAACATTATCGTGTAGCAGATCTCAAGAACGGTGAAAGAATATAAGAAGGAAACCATCAGGGACAGGGGCTTTATCCCCAGGAATAGCAAAAACTGTCAGTCAACTTCTTCCAAAGAAGCATCCCTTTCCAGATAAAAAACAAAGAAAGGTGGCCGAGATTTAAAAAGAATACCATCTAAGATAACCCTAAGGTTAAAATCACTAAAAAAAATAAACTCAAAATGTTGAACAATAGCTTCATCATGAGCTGAAACGTCACCTTCTGATACACCGGGTAGATAAATAGTAAAAATATCATTTTCCCTTCTACGAGTATTC